GTCTGCGGTATATAAAACTAAATTACAACCACGTTTTATTGGACCTTTCAAGGTCATAAGCAAGAAAGTATTAGCCTATACGCTGAACCTTCCAAAGAAGATGCAAATACACCCTGTGTTCTACGTGAACTTGCTAAGGCCATATCTCAACCTAGCTTCGGAGGACTTCGAGGGGTTGTACCCATACTCTCGGCCGAAGGAGGCGAGTAGCACGGCACCGGAGGTGCATATGGACGCTGGAGGCGAATCAGGAGATCACGTTGACACCAAATCTTGGCTTAAGAACGCTCAATTGCCGCTAAGAAATCTGAGGTCTCTGAGCGATAACGCTCAAAGGATTGACAGTGTCAATCGACACGGTCATCAAGCGATGACAGGTGAGACTTCACCAATCCAAGAGCATAACGCTTCCAGGAGTGTCAGGAGACGCTCGATCTCACAGAGAGATGAAGGTCAATGAGCCATCGACCTCCGCGACGCTAATTGATGAACTGAGTTATCAACAGCTCCACGTGGAACGTCTCTTGGCTCGGCATTGTCACTAGGGTCATATTCAATGTTTGATGAAGTGGAGGGGTTCCCCCAGTCGTACGACTCGTGAGAGCATGAGGTACCCCTCTGGCAAGATTGCCCTGACGCCGTTGACGCTTTTGACCAGGACGGTCAGAGGCGACGACAGCTGTCGTTAGAATCTTCCTAGCACTAGGTGCTTAAGAAGCAGGGTCTGTAGGATGACTTCAAATCTGACCTTCAGAAGAAGCCAATGTCGGTACATCACTCGCGCGAAAGGTACAGGCAACAGCTTCAAAAGCTTGCCCCCCACAAGTCTTTGACCTGTATGTGGAGGGTAATTGACGCTTCGCTTGAGCTTAGCAGAGTTAAAACGTAGACGACGTTTTAATTAAATGTCTTGTTCTTTAGCGCTTAAACGCAAGTTTGACAAACTTGAGAGCTTACATGCTTGTTCTACCCAGCGAGTGAACTAGTGATTATCTTGTGCAGATGTTTCACCTGGTGCAAGCACCACTGGTATGTCATTCGGTGGGTGCACGAGAACCCCACGTGACTGTCGTGACAGTCGCTCCTGATACAATTTCATTGTAAACTCCTGGGGAGTAAGGAGCCGCTTACGAAGAGAGGCACGATCCGCAACCTCGCAAGCAGTACTGGCCTGAGACCCAATAACATAGGTACGCAATGATTGCGATGCTGCTCGTCGAGATTTCTCATTGGGGTCCCGAGTCACGAACCCATAATCACGACGTATCACGTTTGTCTGGGCCGTGCCATCGCGGCCGCTAGGGCCACGTCATCAAGTTGACGGCGCTGTGCAGCGTCAAGAGGGTTGGTTGCCTCTTCGTCGACACCCTCTCGCGAGGGAAGTGGTGGTGCTTGGCGAAACGCAGTTGTTCCCCTTGGGTGAGAAAATACAAAACGCATTCGGCGTCCTTCGATCGGCGAGCGTGGTAAACGCGGGGTAAAATAGGCCAAAAGGTGACTCAGCGCCAATACTCTTGGAAGTAACGTTACTGTCATCATCCTCAAAAGATAACTCGACGTGATGCAGCATTCATGATGCAACAAGCGCAATAAAAACAAGTAAAACAAGTGTTGTGAACACTGTAATGCTTAGAACTTATAAGTAAGTGTCGTAACAGGAAATGCTTTAGCGTGAGTGCAATGCACTGTATGCTTAAGGAGAAGGGTGCGTAGATTGCGTGAGTGTAAAGCACAAATGCTCAAAGTGCTGTGTCGTAACACAAAGTTTACTTTCGCAATTGCAAGGCACTTATTGCGAGGCAAGCAAAACATAAAGTTATTAAATACGACAGGACTTCACATAAGTTCAAAAATAATGGGTACGTCGGGTCCCATGGATTAGTGGGGAGGGAATAATGAAATTACACGAAGGTGTGCAATGTACATACATCCACACCATTGTGGTGTGGCTGTACAATGGGATACTAGTTGATGTGACCTTACCTAAGATACAAAGGGGCGCATCGAGGCACGTGGTCATTATACTTGGTTTAAGTACTATAAGTACATAAGTTTGCATATTAACAGGCTACTCAGTTATATAAGCCGTGAATAAGCTAGGTACTTCTATATTCAGTGCTAGAAGATAAGCATTCCAATAAATCAGTTTAAAACCTACTCTGTATAGAATTTGTTGCTACGGCCTTTCCTGAACAAAAAAAGAATACAGTATTTCTGATACAAAAGCGGCAAAGACATCAACTCAATCATACCAAAGAGGTATCTTGAGCTCTTACAGGCCACACAAACGTGTATGACTTCTCCACTTCACCTAACATTATGTATGACCCTGGTGACGAAATAGTACGTGGCATGAAGCTGACTTTGACCAGTTGAATCAATTAGCGTTTGAGGCGGTCGACAAACCATTATTCTGTCATGACGTCTGTCATTAGGATCTCTGTAAAATCCGCCACTTTTTCCGGGGAATAAAAACCCCCGCTCAAATACATAGAGGTCGGATAAAGGTACGGCATGAGTAAGCCAATATAGAACAAAGGGTGTGTTTTCTTCTTCTTGAGGATATTAAGCGTATAGGCTAACCCCCTAATCAAAAAGCCTAACAAAACGTAGACGTAATTTGGTAGTAGGTATATTCCTAGCTTTTAATTAGACCAAATGTCCCAATTTGAACTCCTATTCATTTTTTGCCTTGTCATCTGCTTGTTCTTTCTAGGCATTTTGGAATCCAGCTATATCGTCTTTGGCGCAGCGTAAGACTTAAAAACGCGTCAAAAAGAGCACTTATAGCACGCTAACAAACCATGATAGGCTTTCCCAATTGTAATGATGCGAATGAGCAGAGTGGAGGATACCCGAAATTGATTGAGATTTAGTTTAGACAGCTCTTATCTGTGCAATGTTCCTCCCCATGCCTAATCATACACTTACGTAAGTTTACCGTAACGTTTCAAATGACCATTAGTGTGTAATAGGTTTGGTAGGCACGTACCTTGGGTAGCAGTACCATTTCAGCTGCGTGCGCGTAGGCTTTCAAGCAGGCAGACTGTGAGCTGTAACTGGAACACTCTCGGGTTGACTAAAGATGTTTCGGTGTTTGCTTTTCTCAGTTCAGCGCCGTCGTTAAGTGCAATTTAGGTTGTCTTGCCAGCGGTAGGAAGACAGCTAGAATCAATGACTTGATTGCATTCTCAATTATTGAGACGGCTTCACCTTTGACATCAGCACCATACCGTGCGCCAAATTCTCTTTCTTCGGAGTTTTTGCCATTGTGGTCAGTCGGTGGCGCGTTTATTGCTCTAATGTTGTGATATGACTCCACTGCCATCGTAAGCAGTAGTTTCAAGATAAAAAAGAGTTACAATGACCTTAGTAGTCAACCTGCTAGATGCTAGTAGAACCAAGGCACACAACCCGTAACCCAATTAAGTCTCGAGGAGTGGCGTCGAGTCTGGATCTTCATTTTGTAAACGTTCAGCTAATTGTGCTAGTGTGGCGTGCGCAGCAACTTCCGGAATGGCATGTTCTAGAGCCACATTATCTGATCAATTGATTTTGAGCTGTGAATAAGCTAACAAACACTTAGCGCGTAAAGCCTGATTCCGTTTACTGTATCCATACAAAAAACGTAAGATGCATGTGTAGCGTTCCGTATTCCACCACAACCATATAGGGCAGAAGCAGCTTGTATTGTGAACGGTCGTGTCAACGTTAAGGTAGGCTGAAAATCATGTAGAGCTGCAGCAATTTTACGCTTGAACTAACTGCATTTTTGTGTTGGTAAAAAAGGATAAAATTCGGATAAGGAATTAAATAATTTCAGGATGGGACCTGAATAAATGTTTATGTCCTAAATTCAACGTAATATCTGTCCAAATGCTCCTTGGTTTTAAATTATTTTGCTGTTCAAATGCTACAAAAATATATTCATTGGTTTTAAAATTAGTGAATGTAGCATTTGGACAACAAAAATATGTTTTTTTGACTGTATGTGCGATAGCGTAGGGGGCGTTTTTTTTGTTCGCGTCAAGCAAATTAACGAGAGAAAAAAATGTCTTCATTGTGCGGCAGTGAGGCTAAGAAGTGGCATGATCGGTCAATTATCGAGATGCGCGCGTTCATTTATTTCTTTAGATGTTGATATAGTCTTGTTCAACCGTTACCAATTTTTCATCGAGTCATTCCTCAGCGACAATCTCACAGAGATTCATCATCGGTCCTATTCGTTCGATCGCGTTTAGTTTAACGTCAAAGCTTTTCAAGAAACTGTAAAACTGTAGAAAATAATAATACATATAAACGATTAAAACTCCTGCGTTATGGGATCAATTGTAACCCCGCAAAAGTTTAATGCAATCGACATGAGGACTTTTCTCATCACCACAATTATGATGTGTAAGAAGATATTGTGTGTTTCAGGTCATAAAGACTCGAAGTGAAGACTGCAAGACCCATGACAGTAAAGGGCAATCTCAGCTGAGTGGCTAACATGTTGACAGGTGGGACAAAGGCATACGGACGTCGTCTGGGACCAGGGACACATAATGTTTGCCAGGTGTACCTTGAATAGGTTAAGCTGCAGCGCTATATGGTAGGGTTAGAAAAAAAAGGGGGGTAAATAATAAATAAATTTTATATTTATTTTCTACTTCTATTGCACAAGCGCAACTACGTTTAACATGATATCACACATGTATGTGCATACCAATTCTCTCTTTTCTCTCGTTTACGCTATAGAGACGATACTATATGCAAGAAGGTGGAACAAAGTCTCAAAGCTCAGTTGCGTGAAAGTCGCGTATTGTATGAAGGAAAAAAAGAAGAAACAATAACTTGATATTTGTATGGAATCACTGGATTCTGACTGGATAGTACAGTGAGAATTAGTACCCTGTGTATAGTGATATGTAAATGAGTCCATTAAAACGATATCATTCATGTGTACCACATGATATCAGTTGTGCGTATGATCCCACACATTAGCAGTTGATAAATATATAATGGAGAATTATCACATTTACGACGAAATTGGACGCGGTACAGACTCATTTGTGTACAAAGCACGACGAAAACAAAGTATTGAATACGTGGCTGTAAAGTCTACTACCAAAAGTCGTATGGATAAGGTTGGTGATATGGTGTCGATTGTGGAATTCTATTTTACATCCGGATATGTATGTTGGTCATTATCTGATGTTATCATTCTAACAAATAACCTTATAATTTAGATTCTGAACGAAGTCCCGTTTCTACACAAGCTCAACAGTCGTTATGTGGTCAGGTTTTATGACTGGTATGAGTCATCGAATCACATTTGGCTTATACTTGAATATTGTATGGGTGGAGACCTGCTAAATCTGATTACACAAGATAAACAGCTTCCTGAATCAGTTGTCAAGGTTTATAAGATATTACTGGATTTGATTACGAAATCTCGTGTTGGTTGTTGTTATGGATGTTTACTAATCAAATGTGATTACTCTGGATGATGTGTTCTGACATCATATTTTGATAGTCATTTGGAAGTGAACTTGTTGCTGGATTACAGTATCTTCATGCCAATAGTATTCTATATTGTGATTTAAAACCTGCAAATATTCTTATTGATGAGTTTGGATCGTTAAAGGTATGTACCCATGTATATTTGTGATTGCTGTTGATTAGGTCAACTTATTCCTCGCGACAGGAAGAAATTAAAAGCTTGTATTAAGATGATAATGTTGCTCTAGTTGGCAGATTTTGGACTTGCACGACGTGTTCCAGAAATTCATACAACACCGACACCATCCGTACGAAATGTATTGATTCATTTTCACTCTCCACTCTGTACTTGAGACTATGTGTGATCAGAAAAAACATTGTACGAGAAAAACCATTATTATTTTGTAGCTTGCTCCAGGTTCACCGCATTATATGGCACCAGAATTATTCCAGCAAAATGCCGTCCATAGTTTTGCGTCGGATTTTTGGGCTTTGGTACGATAGAGTTGGTATTTTTATTGTCGTGATTGTATTTGTTTCTATCTTTTTTCTTTCTTTGACCAGTTTTGACGCCGAGTTTTGATGTTATTTTTGGTGATGATGATAATGATAATGTAGGGATGTGTACTGTTTGAGCTTCGAACGGGTCGACAACCATTTACACATGGTAATTTCTCCCAACTTGCACGAATGGTTCGTATGTATTCTTTGATATTGGGGGTGTCAGGAAGAAAGACTTGTATTATTTTGTTTTTTGTGTGTTAAATGTCTGAGCTAAACAATTGATGTGATGGAGATAGATTCAAACCGATGCAGTGGATTTTTCGATTCTTGGATGTGACATGTCACTTGAATTTCGTGATCTTCTGGAACGTTTGTTAGTGAAAGACCCTTATCAGCGAATCACTTGGTACGTCTTGCATTTGTTATTGTATTTCTTGCCTTTAGTAATGCACCAGCAGAATACATTTAACACAAAACCACCGCCTGGTAGGAAGGAATTAGTCGATCATCCATTCTGGGATAATTTGCCTTGCCTTGAGAATGTTATCATGCCTGTGCAGGAGTTATTTGATAAGAAGTTGCCGGTGTCACTAAAGTAAGTCATGCTTTTTACCCGGATTGAGCTTGTTTTATCTAGTGTTAAATGTTATTCAACACAGCGACTTGTCTACCAAAGATGGCAATCTCGGAATTTCTCGGCGCGCAAACAAAATTTGCACTGAACAAAATGAGACTGAAAATTGCAGCAACACTGGGCTTTCTGATGACAGTGGTATTGGAGACCAACGGCTACAGCGTGAGAATGACGCAGCAGCAACAGACTGCAATGGCGGTGTTGAATTGTTAGAGTCTGGAGCTTTGAATCCCAATACCGCAATTCTAGTTGATACGAACCAAGATGCAGTCCATGACAAAACCTTATCTGCAAGTGTAAGGATGCTTCAAACACGCAGTTTATTAAACAGCAATGATGACTTTGGCGATGATTTTCAAGATGATTTTCAAGATGATTTTCAAGATGATTTTCAAGATGATTATAGTGAAGTATCCAGTCAATTGGCAGAACTCCGCGATCAGTGGCGGATGACCAGTGCACCTCATTCTGTACCTCGTGCTATTCGGCAAGCGCCAACACAAAGCAGACATTTGAGTAGCATGTTTGATCAAAGTGGAGTATCAGGAAGCTGGCTTTGCGCGATTTCAGAACTTGTATTTACGGCTGCAGATTGCCGTGTGAAATCAATCATTGAATACAATGATATTAAGCTTAATGACTTGCCGCGCATTCACGCAAAACTTCATCAGTTTACACTCACTACACCGGAAGACCTATTGTCATGCGCAACAGAGACACTAGAGAACCAACTCAAAGAAATCTACGTCAGTTTGAAGTCTTTGCATGCTGATATTGCCGAAGAGCTCAGCTGCATGGCATACCTGTTTTCTCTCAGTTGTCACACCCGGCTGGCCCACGTGATCGTAAATAGCTCTATCCTCAAGCTTCTAATTCATATGTTGGTACAAGAAGCTCGGTTACCCGCATCGCACAAGACAATGTTATCAATGCTTTGCCTTGTGCTCGGCATTTTATTTCCCTCCGCGACCGTCGTTACACCATCGTCGCCTGATCAGCTACGACTACTTGTGAAAACTTTGTCGGACATTGTTTCCAGTCCTTCTGGAAACATTGCAGACACGAAAACTATCAGCAATAGTTGGTTGCAGTCTCGTTCGCTAGCACTTGCTTGCCTAGGAGAATCGCTTTATTACATTTCGACACAACAAGAGTGGGAAGTACCACTGGAAGGGGTAAAAGCTGTGCTTGGTTGTATTGAAGATCCCGATATTGTAGCGCGCTTCTATGCTCTAAGAACACTTCATAATATGCTGAATCATTGTCCCAAGGCTCTTCTCCCGAAACTACTGAGCGAGAACTTTGTGCTGACGTTGATTCGTGGATTGTTGCAAAGCGCCGACCGAGGACTTCAAGTACAAAGTGATCTGGATGAACAAAGACTTTCTGATGCGCTGCGTACAAATACGACAGAGGTCCTTGCTCACATTCTTAGATATCTTTGCAGCCCGTCTTCAAGCGCACAGCTGCCGTCTCGGTTGAAACTCTCGCTTGCGCTGCATTTCGCGAATCCTAACACTCTGAAAGCTGTGTGGCGGGGTGTAGAAAGCAGGCGCGGATCTGCTGATCTGACAATTGCCTCACTCAACATCATAAACGCTTTCTTGGATATGAAGTTGGGCGGAGACAGAGACGTCGAATATACAGCAATCAAATTGAGTCGCACGTTCCTGTTGGAACGTATCATAGCGCTGCCTACTATCCAGAGAATTTTGGAGCTTAATAGCGCCACTGATGGTACTGACGAAGGCTTGGCTCTAATGCAAGCGAAGAGTCTGATCACGCTGCATTTGGGCATACAACTGAATCGAGAATTTCTTACCTCATTTGTGCGGAGTGATGCTTTGACGCTTGTGGAACAGGTTCTAGCCCGAGTTGCTGACCGCTTGGGCATTGATGAGAACAATCTTGTTTTGCAATCTCCAGAATACACGTTATCAGCGTTTGAAATGTATCTCACCCAATGCGCTGTCGGTATGTGCAAACTTGTAATTCGAATGGCTTCGACGCTTGGTGCTGATTGCTTTTCTTTACACGAAAGTGACAGGGATGAAGGCAGAAGTTGCAATCATGCAGAGGACTTGACGCGAGTATTGCCGATATCACTTCTCCTATTTAGTGGGTTGCTGCAGAATCCAAACTGCCGACAACATCTATTTCACTACTTGGTCGCGAGCAACAGCAAGCAGTATGCGTTTTTTCTGCGTCTGATGGCAATGCTTCTGGCATCATACCCTGAAGAAGTTCTAATTATACCAGGAGAGCCCGAGATAACGATGACAATTGCCCGTTTTGTGTCGGAAATTTTGCTGGGCTTGTTTCAACTTGCAGTTGCGGAGGTCAACGAGATTGTTTTGGTCGAGAAGCAAATAATGTTCACCCATTTGTTGCCTGCGGTGGTAAAACACATATCTGGGGATTTGGAGAGTAACGATGAACATGTTGCGGTAACCTGTCTCCGAATTCTGTATGTAGTACTGTTGGATTTTGACTATGACAACGACAATCGTGAGTATGAGTTTTACGACCCCTTCGTTCGATCATTGCTTCTCCCCCACCTCAGCAAAATGCTAAAAAGACGGGACACTGAAGTTGAGCAGATTTGGAGTCTGTCAAGTGAGCTGCTGTTTGGTTTGCTCTCCAGTGATTCATCTCTTCTCAGTGAAGCAGAGGATCTTGATCTTGTGCCCACAGTAGTGGGCTTGCTAGCCGTTCCAGTCCAGTTCAATTCATTGCCTTCACATGCTACAGAGCTAGTCCAGATGCTGATGGAATCGGTTGATGTGGATTTAAATTTGTTATTGGAGTCAGGCATTGCCCAAAGTATTGCTGCTGGGTTGACATTCGCTGCAAGACAAAATAAGGTGGATGGAGCTTTGGTGGGCTTGGTTCTCATTCTACTGAATTTGCTCCACCACCAGTTTAAAAAGATGCGTCAACAAGGGATAGCATCAGATCTAGCAGAATTCGACGATCTGGTCGCTTTTGCACCATTGCTGCTGCAGTTTTGTGCTCGTAGTATTCAGCACCACCTGAATGGGAAGTCGGAAAGCCTATTGCCAGAGAAGGATACCATCTCAGAGAGGATGACTCATGGAGTTGCTATTTTAGCCTCTCGCTGCCTCGTTCTCCTATCTCAGGTAAAAGTCATGACGTTGATATCATGAACACATTCATATGTGACGCTAAACTAAGCGTGCGTTTGCTTGCAAGATATCACGTGAACAGTTGATAAAGGCGATATTTACACAAGACAAGTCGGATGTTTCTGTCTTGAGGTGAGTGGCAAGTTGAATGCTTGCAAGCTTGTATTTTGTAATGTAGATATGTACAAATATCTAACGCGCTACCCTGTTGATCGGTTGCACAGTTCAATCTTTTCATATTTGCAAACAGATACGAGTGACGATGACATGGGTGGCATTGTGCTGCATGTGCTACTAACATTGAAACACTGTCTGCGGTGCCAGGGTAATAATACTAGCCTCGTGAGTCAGTGGGTGACTAACAACGGTGATTGTCTAAATACGGCGAAGGCTTCGGCATCGCGCAAAACACCATTACCAACAAGTAAAGACCATAGCAGAATGGAAAGTCATTTGACCTGTCCGACTGTCTCAGAACAGATATCGAAGGCGGTAGCGGCAATCGTGAGTCTTTGCTCTTCGCACGCACAATGACTTTAGTGTTATTCAACGTAACAATGTGCCAGTTGTCTGCAAGGGTGTTCATTTTGTTTTAAGCAGCATAATGCACGATTGAGGTGCTCATTTCTTAAGCAGCTCATTGCAAGATTCGTAAAACAAACAGGCATGTCAGTTCTTGATCCACGGGTAATGCTGCTTCGTAAAACAAACAGGCATGTCAGTTCTTGATCCACGGTAATGCTGCTTCGTAAAACAAACAGGCATGTCAGTTCTTGATCCACGGGTAATGCTGCTTCGCTGCTTCCCATTGAGCATTGGGGTAAATCTGGAGGTCCAAGCGCTCCGCAACCTCGTTCAGGTGGGATGAATCGCCCTCAAACATCCCCTTGAAGACAACATTCACAATGTGTTCAGAGCGCTCAAGGAGCAGCTTGAGTTCTTGAGGCATGTCCGGCACCAAACGTTCGACAAGGACCGCCAAAACCAAACACACCTGACACGCTACCACAAAAGTAAAGGCTCGAACAGTTCCACTTTGGTCTTCAAACAAGTCAGAAGTCCACAAGATAAGTGCCGAGTTCGTACCAAGCGCACTGTATGTCATAAACCGTAGAATGTAAAACCACACGCCAATACTCCTTAGCCGGGTGGGGAAATGGTCGGCGGTGAACAAAACAGAGCTTCACAGCATCCACATGGACTTCCAGCACATTGTTTGCCAGCGCAAGCACTGGTGTCAGCGGGAATGCCACCACAAATAGGTTGATAAAGCCATACTGGATGACCATCTCATTGTAGTCCTCAAATGCTTCATTGGTCTCGTACGGCACCAGCTTAGCCTGCTCTTCAATGTAGTTGTGACCAACCTTGTCTTCACCGTTTGCCGCTTTGCGTTCGGAAAAGAGCTGGTATCGATATTTTAAATATGGCATCGCCACTTCCGTTGTATTTCCCACCACAATTCGGATCAAGAACAAAGTTAACAACTGGTCGCGTAATTCCTTCATACAGTCATCTTCATACAGACAAGAGCCTTCAGCAATGCGCTTCACGAAAGCAATATAGAAGAAAGACGCAAAGGAGTTGCAAAATTGAAACATAAAAACTTTAATGATCAAGTAGCTTTCGTACTCAGCGTCCGTACGGTGGTTTTCGAGGTCATTCAAGTAGCGTGCCACATTCCGGTAAGCCATATTCAGCACCAAAATCTGAATGGCGTTTGCCACAGTCACACCAAATGTCAGCGTAGTCCGGTACTCTGGAACAATATGATGATCTCCCAAATCATCAGTGCTGTTGATCCAGTGCTTGAGGACAAACAAACCAAAAAGAGCAATAACCACAATTCCGACCATTAACGTGACAATAAACACGGAGATGACGAACGCACGGCGGCGTTTTGCCTTACTTTCGAATGTTACTTCCTCTGTATCAGTCACCGGGTGGTAGCTTTTAGTTCCTCGAAATTGAGGGCGGTAACGGAATGATTCGTGCAAGCCACTTAGACCCCAGAGCGAATCCAATATACCGTTCTTGCGCTTCCACGATTCGGAAAAAATGGACGACCAAAGAACTACAAAGACGGCAAAGGCGATAAGAATGTAGCCTTGTTCGCTGGTACCCGTAGCAGCCTGACGTGCTTCAATATAAACAAACGTGATGATGCCCGCAACTGCAGGAAACATAAGCATCTTCGTGTAGAACTCTAGCCACGCAAAATATAACGCAATTTTCTCTCCAAAGTAGTAGCGGATTTTATGCAAAGGTTGGTAGAACATCGTCCAATGAAGAGCCCACGTATGCCTCAGGTCGTGCAGTGCGTCTGCGTCGTGAAGTGCAAACATAGAGCCCACCAGGTATCCAGCTGCCTCGAGAGCATCTGCATTAATATGACGTTCTACAATACCTTCAGCTAGTCGAAGACAATCCTTTTGCGTAAATAAAGTCTGCTCTTTCTTCTTACCCCATTTGATCGGGTAACGGCGGTAATATGGCTGATACTTTTCCTCCCGGCGATATTCAGCAAATGGCGCAAAATACGTCAACGGGTCGTAAGGCAACGCAAAGATCGACGTCCAAAAGCGGTTCCAGTAATTTCCAACGACGCGACGATAAGTGTCATCTTCCACAAACAAACCGTCCGCCTCTTCAGTGTGTCCCCACACATCAAGTGCTTTGCGTAGCTCGGGATGGAACTCTTCTCCACGTGACACCAGCAAGGGATCCATCTCTGGATATTCTGCACCTTCATCTGCAAAGCCGCGTGTGTGTCTCAAGTGGCCAATTGAGGTTTGCCACTCTTTATCTCCCATCTCACGTTGCAAAGTCTTGAGCTTCTCGTTGTGTAATGTCCTCGAAAAAGGTTTGTTACTTACTTGCAATCGATAATCCGAGCGGTCAGCTTCAATCTTCAGATCGTCGTTATCGGTCTTGATAGTCATAATAATCTCATCCGCGTCACAGCTTAAGAACATGCGCGTCGTGAGACCACATGCAAGTTGCACACGTCGTGAAATCGCCGTCGCGACCAATTCACAAAATTTTGTCTCTGTCGTAGGCTCAGTAGAACCAATAAACGTTCTATACTCATTCATCAAAAACTGCTGCTGTATCTCCAGTCTATGCTGTTCACCTGTTTCACTGTGGTCCATACTCGTTTCCATCACAGCGTCACAGCCACGGTCGTCTAGAAAACAGCGTGGCGTACGCAATACGCGCTGAAATGGATCCACTACAATTTTGTTCGTAGACTTGCTGCGTTCCAAGTCTTTCCCAATCATAAGATGTAGAAAACTCTCTAGTGTAAAGTCACGAGGCTTCTTCTGCTCTCCACCTTCACGTCGTGGAAAGACCATGACTAGATCATGGTCGTACAACGTCTTCTCTGACGCTGTACCTGTTGACTTGAAATCAGATGAAGACGATTGTGCTTTTTGTATTGTATTTGCATCCATCTCAATTGCCGCGTGGGACTTGGTACGAGGAGATGCAATTGCATCGTATGGAAATGCCATGGATCAAAGAATGATGGTCACGTACGTGTGAGTGGTGATTGTTGCTCTACACCGGTTTTTGATGTTTGACCGTTTCAGATTCTTCGATGGTACAATGTGCAGATTAACAAAAATCGGCCAGTAATCTGACTCTTTCAAATGACTTGGAGCTAAAGATAGAAAACAACTAGCGGATTGTAAGGGTTTAGGATATAAATAATTAGGAATCTAAATATTTATTGTATAAGAAAAAAACTTTACATAAATGTTAGTTTAGCATTATCAATTCGTCTAGTTCATTGGAAAGAAAAGTGATATGGAATAGAATCATATAATCATACAATTGAGCGATATTTCGTAACGTCCATGTGATAAGTATAAAAAGGTCTAATGACCAGGATATATAGATTGTCTCAGCTAAAGGTGGTACCGTGATAGCCTTTTTATGATTCTTACATGAAAAAAAAGACATTGGGAAGCAAAAACGTGGTCATTCTTTACCTCTAAACAATGATATCACACGATTGATTCTTAGTTGCAGAAATATGCTATATACTAGGTTCATAAAGTGGTCGTTACTATTCTTTACTCTAGGTTTCAGTAGGCTAAACTCTGCCACCACTTTGTATCTATTTCAACCAATTACAGAAAGGAGGGGGCAGACAAAGACACAATTGTTTACGTACGCAGTAAAGTGCGTATCATGATGGCGGCGTCCTTGAGCTTCCCAAGTGCGTCTTCAGAGCAGTCTAAAGCCTCTCAATCAACATATGAGACGAATCAGGACCTCAACAATGCAGTAGACGATGAGTTTGGGTCTTTTACCGCAGCGGAGCAACTCTCGGATCCTTTTGGTGACGTTTACGGAGCTGAAGCGGAGTTTGGAGAGTTTGTAGGCGGTTTTAATGGTCATAAACATGAACAGGAGACTTCTGGTTTTTCTGTAGCCATGGAAAGCTCATTGTTAGTGTCATTGTCGCCTCTGATGACTCCATTGACGACAACAGCGGTTCCAACGCTTTTACCGACGACTTGTGATGAAATTGATCCATTTGCTGGTATTACAGGGATCCATGAGACAATTTCAGGTTGTCAAGAGGAAGAAGAGAAGATGACGGAAGTAACTAAAGCTATTGAAGGAGATGTAGTGGATGGGAAAGTCACTGCAGCTTCGTCTTTAAAGTCTTCGGCAACGTCAGCAATTTTGGACTTGGTATGGGGAAAAACAAGTCCAGGGAAGGATGTGAACTCGATGTCAACGTTACTGATGTCTATAGAAAGTGGAAGGAGCAGGACAGCGTCAAATTCAAGTGGATTTGCGCTGCCTTATTCGACTTCAACACCGTTCGCGACGTTCCCGTCGACGGCAATTAAAACTTCAGAGACTTCAACGGATTTGCTGTCGTTTTCACCTGTTCAGGCTTCGGTACCGACTGATCCGTTTGATGAAATTGATTGCGACAAAAATCCGACGAGCGTTGCAGCACCGGTATATGAGAACGATGAGCTGTTCACGATGACGGCAATGGCTCCGCTGTCTTCAGCATCTTCTTCGGCGCCAACGTCACCGCGCAAATTGTTTGTGTCATTGCATGATGATGTAACGAATCCAAGACTTGTCCCTTTTGCCCACGATTCTGTGGAAATCAAGGCATTACCTCGTGATCCGTTCGCAAAACGCACGACTCGACCCTTTGACCCATTGAGCTTATCATTTGTAGGTGCGGGGGGCGATGGAAAACATAGCTGGTCAAAGTGGATTGCATGCGTCATTCAGCACATTTCCTAGTGCCACACCGGAAGGAACATCCTCTTTATCGGCCCCTCCCTCTTTGTGCAGCTCTTCCAAAATGACAGACGGGTTTCTAGGTTTTGCACCTGTTGCTGCTGAGTCAGATGAGGCGGACCCTTTTGCTGCGGCAGGTTTGGCGGCCCCAGCGGCGGTATCTTTGGTTGACGCACTTGCGGCGTGGAGTACCGATGGAGAACATGCTATGGACGAAGGCAAAAATGAGGATTGTGTGAGAAAGCGCACTGACGAGGAAAATGCTGGAGACAAGAATGATTTGATTGTAGATGCGTCAAATGATGGTGTTGATACTGCATCGGTTGTTAAAGATAAGAGCGATATTTTAAATGCGTCAGAACAGCCAAAACTATGGAAGTCAGAATGCTCGCGGGGTGATTGGACGATTGCAACCGAGCGCAACGAAGCGTTTGGTGAGTCATTTACAGCGGAACATGAGACAGAAGAGGTCACCGTCCTTCGTTCACCTGTCATTGCGATGGGATCTGACGCGGAAGACGACGAGAATGTTGCTAGTCTGATTCCTAATAGTAATGGTAACGAGAGTCGTGTCGGTGGTCTTCAAGGTGCTCTTTTAGACCGTGACAATGATGAGGTTGACATAGGTGATGCCGCGATTTCGGCTAATAGTGCCACTACCTCTCCATTGAAGCAAAATTTGGTAGACGATCCTTTTGGTAGGAGTCAAATCGACACGTTTTCGTTTACAATAGCGACAATGGACTTGCACGTTGAAAGTGCAAGTCAAACACCGTTTACTGGTGATTTGGAGGGTGACCGTTTGTCGCTCCATGAGGACAAGTTTAACTCGTTACGTACATCCACACCTAGTGTTGCATCGGAACTTTGGCTTGCTTCGGATGAGGTCGAAGAAAATGCTGTAGTAGGAACAATTGAGATAAAGAGTCCAATGCAAGCGGCTGAAGCGGCTGATGGCGATGATTTTGGTGACTTTGGAGGGTTTGAAGCTACACCTGCTACTACAGTCATCGCAAGAGCCAGTCCAGATGATATGCCGTGGGGATCTTCTGCATCGCTGACTATGGTACCAAAAGTGCAAATGGAGGATGTCAACAGCGTTGGAAACTTAGCAATGTCGGCGACGACTTCTACTTTTGCAGAGACCAGGTCCGCTGACGACACTTTTGGAGATTTTACCCAGAGCATCAAGCCAAGCGGTGATGACGAGTTTGCTGACTTTGGAAACTTTGATCAGAGTTTTGTAAACAAGGAAGATAGTTTCACCGATTTCAAGCAATCTTGCGCGGAATCGTTTGGAAGTGATAATGGGTTTGGTGACTTTGCCCCAGCTGTTGCCCCCACTCTGGTGGCATCGCCAGCTTTGTCGATTCCGTCCTTATCGAAGACCGAGTTGTCAGCATTCTTTAAGGAAGCATTTTCGACGAAGCCTTTGCCGGCGATTTCACCTGACCAGGCGGAAAGCCCAACCGAGGTAGATGACACTGATTCTGTTCAAAAGAAATCGACGGATTTCATTCACAACGTATTTCGCGACATGTGGGATGAGTATATTTCTACCGTAGCTGCAACAGGTCCCCAGTTGTCTTCTTCGTGTGGCTCGCTTTTGACTACAGTCGAACCAAAGGACGTTGGCGAGCGCGTGCGCTTGTACCAGAGTACGAAACGTGCTTCAAAATATTTGAAGTATGTGCTGTCCGAAAAGATCCAAGAGGCTTCGAAGCAGAATGGCATATTTGCGCATGGTTCTGAGAGACATCAGATGTATGTGGGAGTTATTGATTCTGGCGACGTAGACCGCATGTCTGCCGCTCTTAAAGAGTTGCAAGACGCGCTGTTCCACAATTCAGTAAACAACGCGATGATGCGGATTGCCAAGCAGGCAGCGCTGTCAGCTAAAGCCAAAATTGCTGAGCAGGCGGCTCAGCAGCAGGCGACTTCACGTGGTGGATCCTTATTCTCCACAACACGTCACTTGTTGTTACGAGGTGGGAACGCTGGAGGAGCGCATGGCCCGAGTAGTTGTGGCAGCGATACCGATCATGCTGGAGCTGATACTCCAACGGGTGTCTCTGTTCAGAAGCTAGCCCGCTTCTCGCTCGCTAACAACCATGACGACTCCGCAAATGCGCACCGTAGTGTCATTAATGGCGGGGAAAGAGTGTCGGATGGATGCGATCGCACGGGACATAGCAGTGGGAGTGATTTGGAAGTTGCATTTAGTGCTGACAGTCGAAATCGAGGCCAAATCTCCTCGAATAGTGGAAGCAACAATGGCGGCCTGATGAAAAAGTTTCAGGATCGCTTTTCTTTCAGTAGCACTAGACATCGCCCACGTTATGTGCGTCTTCGAAGGAATGGACAGTCAGATGAGGAGATCAAAAAGATGGAGCTAAATTTGGACACTATCAGTGGAGGCTTTGACGAAGTAAAGTGGAAGTGTGCTTTGTTCTTGTATGACGTCGAAGAGGTAACTCATGTGGCACCTTCACAAATTAGCATTTTGGCGTATCCAAGCAAACAGCCGCTAAGAGGAAAGACTGATCGGAGTGCGCTGACAAAGCTTGTAAAGTCTGACTCAATTTGGATTGTTGATATTGGCGCCAATAAATAGCAATATGCTGAACAAGTGGTGAGAGATAAGAAGTGGAAGACGAGTCAGAGTCAAATAGTGGAGAAAATTTGTGGTTCTGAGGTTAACCGACACTTGAGGGATGCACAAGATAAATGCCCAAGGGTCATCGTGTATGATTGTATTTGCTTCCAGCGCCAACAAAAAGTGGATAACATATCGTACGATTAGCATGAGAAACAAACCCGTTTTTCAAAATACTGGAGCGACTTAATTTGACGATAGCGTCGCTGGCGTAAATAAGCGCGCCTCACGCTTTATATTTTCGCACTTGTGGACGTCATAAAAGGACATTGTTTGCTCAAAGCATTCTGTTCGTCTTGCGTCGGGTATTGTAGATCGACGCATTCCGTGAGACAGAGACGTTTGCACTCGACGATTCCGTGTTTGATGAAATGGAAATTCTTTGCGTCCGCTTCATCAAGTATGGTACTACTTAGAGAAAGTTTGCCGTCTACTTTGTATGGTTTGAGTGAAGCGTTTATCTGTTACATCAACCCGTCGCTTCTTTCTTCGACCCGCTTCTATTACGTGTATGGAAAGGTTTCTGCTATCGTGACGACGACTGTATGAAGGGTTTACGTGATTACTGCTGATTCTATTTCTAGTTTCATCGTGGTGGGCATTAACACTGGCTCCGTCACTGTTCTCGCATCCAGTCAAGAAGTTATAATGTTGCAATTAATCGTAAGCATGAACGCGGCCCTAATTCTGTGGGCATTTGCCTTAGCGGACCTAATGATCTGTCCAGCATTTATCCAGCATCTTTGCATTTTATCCATTGATGTGACTGTCTTGTGGGAATGTTTAGTATGGCTGAGGCTTTACTACGACTACTAATCTAGTTGAGCAGTTAAACTAGTGTTAGAACACAACTATAAGAAGCGCATGGGTGCTAGATATCTCGCGTGATACAAGCTTCGATTATACAAGATATGTTTAAAAAGCTAGTACTAGTGAGAACCAGTACAACCACACGACAGATGTGAAGGCATATTCAGTACAAACATTTGCGTCATGTTCAAAGACGCATTACATATACGTTAACAAGTTATCTCCATTCCTCCAATACGATATATCGAAGTTTTTTTCATATGAGCACACACACGGAAGAAAAACAAAGCAAAAGCGAAACGCTACCTCATACGGCCCAATTTAGAAAAGGAACGTACGCTACGTAAGAGCTGTACACAACGACATAGTAGTTTACCGATGACAACAGGAAATAACATGAACAAATGCTCCGAGTTAGTTGAAATATGATCGTTCATAGACTAGTACACAAGTAATGAAGCATCCAGAAAGACTGTGAAGAAGCGACAAGACATTGTGAAGTTACAGAGAATAATAGTAACGAGGTTATGAGCGATACCAAAAAGACCTGCAGTACTGCTCCATCACTGACCTTCCAGTTAATTTGAACAACTTTTGCCACTTCCGTGGACAAGACGATCGACTGTACAACCAAATAAATGGACAAATAGGTGTTTGTCCTTCATTATCTATCAAGCGACACGTTTTTGATTTGAGCGTTATCTTTATGTAACATCCCCTGACACATTTTGACCCTGGGTTCGTTTTCACTTAGTACTCATTTAAGAATTTGAGTTCAAAAAAAGATGATAAAGCTTTTTTGTGCGATTGTCGGTGTGCCGGGACGCGTACTCTCTGTAGATATCGACGTAAATCAGTCCGTGGGAGACTTAAAAAAGGCAATTCAGGTGAAGAAACCGAACGAGTTGAAGAACGTCGATGCAGACGAGTTGCAGCTCTTCCTCGCAAAAACGACGGACGGCAAGTGGCTGTCAGACGAAGAACCTGCTGCGCTGGAATTGGAAAAAGGAAAAATGCATCAGGATACTCAAAGAATGATTTTTGGAGAGAAAATGAAGGCGACAAAGACTCTACAGCATTGGCTGTTTGAGAAGAACAAAACGCCACAGCCATGGGCTGATCAGATTCACGTGCTAGTAGTAGTTCCCGAGCAGGAACAACTACGACCAGGGTTGTGGCTCGTTAGCGGAACCATCGAGAATGCGTTAGACACAAAAGGAATTCGCTGCAAGTTGTACCGGCTAGCGGGATTACGGTTTGCACGCTACGATCCGGCTCGCCGGAAGGAAGACAAAGATATTGCGTTTTGGTACGAAGACAAGAAATTGTGCTGTCATCTTCTGTTTAAGGCAGGTGCGCGCCTTAAGCTAATGTGTGATATTGCATGCGCTTCGCGCATCAAACGCCTTCTTGGTATCTTCAAGAACCACTTTATACAGAACCGATGAGGAGTTTTACTCCTCTTCAGGTCGGATTACGACCTCTTCTGCGATATCGCCTGCCTGTAAGGCACTGCCAAATTCGACCAAGGGCAACTCCTCTAGCTCTAAAAGAGCACTTATAAGTCACCGGATCTTTGACATCTACTGTAAAGGGGTTACACGAAGGTGTGTATTTTACATACATATCTGCCACACCAACGTGGTGTGGCTGTACCTTGGGTACAGGAGTAGGCTTGATATGACCGTACCTGGAGTACGAAGGGTCGCATCGTGGCAGAGAGCCACGTGGTCACTATACTTCTTTAGAGTATAGCGACTATGCATGTTTGCATAATAATAAAAGGCTAAAGAGCCAGTAAATAGTGACTAGCACTAAGTATAGGATAGGTGCTTCTATATTTAGTGCTAGAAGATAAACATAAATATAAATCCGTTTTGAAACCTGCTCTATAAGCAGCAATGCTTGAGCGTTCTATTCCTCCTGAGGAATTTGTATCTTTGATACTAGTCTCTTCAAGACGCGGTTACAGCAAGCGATAGGCATAAGATCACGAGCTAGCCTTGGAAGGGTTAAGCACCCTAGGACGTAGAAGCTCTCTGAGCTTGTGTTCGTCTGCACGTAGTGCATAAGTAGCTTGGCTACAGTAGATTGGCTACAAACGACGTGCAAGCATCTCATGACGAGGCATTGACCCAAGATGGTAGGGTTCAGCCAGTAAACGGAGTAGGCTTTGACATTGAGGTTCTTACACCTATGGACGCTGTTACTTTGGATGCTGAAAGCATCATGAGTAGCGATGATAACATCGGGTGACGGTTATAGCAAACAGCTAGATACACTCGTCAATGGTTTGACTGTAGATGGCCAAGCTTGCCAAGCTACTTATGCACTATGTGCAGAGGAAGACAAGCTCGGAGAGCTTCTACGTCCTAGGGTGCTTAACCCTTCCTAGGCTAGCTCGTAATCTTATGCCTATCGCTTGCTGTAACCGCGTCTTGAAGAGACTAGTATCAAAGATACAAATTCCTCAGGAGGAATAGAACGCTCAAGCATTGCTGCTTATAGAGCAGGTTTCAAAACGGATTTATATTTATGTTTATCTTCTAGCACTAAATATAGAAGCACCTATCCTATGCTTAGTGCTAGTCACTACTTACTGGCCCCTTTAGCCTTTTATTATTATGCAAACATGCATAGTCGCTATACCTAGCAAAGTATAGTGACCACGTGGCTCTCTGCCACGATGTGACCCTTCGTACTTCAGGTACCGTCACATCAAACTTACCACTGTACCCAAGGTACAGCCACACCACATTGGTGTGGCAGATGTGAATGTAAAATACACACCTTTGTGTAACCCCATTACACCCTCCCCACCAATCCGTCCCACGTACCACGATTTTTTGAACTTATTGGGAGTCATCGATTTTTATTTTCGACCCATTTTGCTTGCCTCGCAATAAATCTTGTACTTGCGAACAAAGCTTTAGCGTTTTTAACACTTGCTCCTTGAGCACCTGCGCTTTTACACCCGCTTTCTAAGCATCCTTGTGTTACACTTGCTCTTTGAGCATACAGTGTATTGCACTCACGCTAAAGCATTTAGTATTACGACAATTGATTTTAAGCGTTAAGTGCCAAGCACTTTGGTATTAATATCCATTAGAGTTTACCAACACTTGCTTTTACAGCATTGAAATGCCTAGCACTTGCTTTTAAGCATTACAGTGTTCTAAACACTTGCTCAGAAAGTACCGTAGTGCTAACAGTAGCTTATAATGCTACATTAGTGTCGAACACTAGCTTATAAAGAACCTAAGTGCTCCCCCGTTTTACGTAAGTTTCGGACGTCCGTCTTTAAAGTGCTCGGCACTCGACTGGTATGTTTACGGCGGATCATCCGCAGACCGATGGTCAGACTGAACGCGTCAATCACGCTATTGGCGATATGCTTCGCATTGTTTGTGCTGAAACACCCAAGCAACAGAGCAAGATGCTCCCTCTGGTAGAGCTTGCGTTGAATAACGCGGTGCATGCCTCGACAGGCTTTACCCCATTCTATGTGAATGGTTTGGTTACTCCTCGCGTTCCGTTAACGCTACACCCTGCCACAATCAGGGCTTAGTGGGCGAGAAATAGCCGAAGGCTTGGCTGATATCAGCCCTGTTGCGATGCGCAAAAAGGTGGAAGCGTTTCTGTCAACGCGTTTTGACGTATTACGCCGCGTCAAAGACACTATGGCTGAAAGCCAGGATGTTTAGAAGGAACAAGCAGATGCCAAAGGCAGGAAAAACAAACATGAGTTCACAGTGGGTGATTTAGTTTTATTAAACGCTAGGATCTGCCTACTCGTGCCGTTTCGGCAGTATATATAACCAAACTGCGTCCAGGCTTTATTGGACCTTTTAAGGTCATAAGCAAGAAAGGCTTAGCCTATACGCTGAACCTTCCAAAGAAGATGCGAACACACCATGTGTTTTATGTGGGCTTACTAAAGGCAATCTCAACCCATCCTCGGTGGACTTCGAGGGGCTGCCCCATATACCTGGCCGAAGGAGGCGGGAAGCACAGCACCGGAGGTGCATATGGACGCTGAATGCGTACCAAAGATCATGGATTGATGGGTCACCGACCTCGCCAACGCTAACTGATGAGCTGGGTCATCAACAGTTTCACGTCGAGCGTCTATTGGCGTGACATCTTCATCAAGGGCCGCAACCAGTATCAGTTAAAGTGGAGGGGGTACCCTCAGTCGTATGACTTATGGGAGTACGAGGTACCCCTACGGCAAGACTTCCCGGACGTCGTTGAAGCTTTGATCGGGAAGATCAGAAGCGGTGACAGCAGTCGCCGGATGCTTCCTAGCTCTCAGCGCTGTGGAAGCAAGGTCAGTAGTTAGGCTTCACCTCTAAACTTCTTGGAAAGCAGTTGCCGGTACCTCTGGCGTGAGAAGTACTATGATCTGCTTCAGAAGCAAAAATTACGGCGTATATGGCTTTATCTATACAATACGCAAGGCGTAGACTTTGGAAGCTCGAAGAGCAAGTGGTTAAAGTACTTTACAGCTCAATGAGTATGTGCTGGACACTTCGGTCCAATTAAGTAAGTGTAAAACACTCAGCTGCTATATAAGCACGCGTAAACATGAAGACTTATAAGCAAGTGTAAATCTTAATGAAGCTTTATAAGCAAGTTTACAACACTTTAGGCTTAACGTAAGCAAGTGGTAAATAATGTTGGTATCTTTATAAGCAAAAGTAGCACTGTGAGGCTTTATATAAGCAAGTGTGAAACACTATGAAGCTTTATCAAAAGTGTACAACACTTTGGAATTATATAAGCAACTGCTAAGCACTTAAAGGCTTTATAGAGCAAGTGTTCAAACCTAAGGACTAGAAGCAGTGGTTTGATTGATAAATCACGCATTCTAGTGATTCATCAATCGAAGCAGTGACGCTCACTAGAATGCGTCACAAAACGTCCATACGAATTCAGGATGTTGAAGTGACCCTGTTCTCGATTGTTATTGGTGCATTCGTGGCCTTACTGTTGGCCAATTAGAGTGCGTCTGGTTTTGTGTATACACCCCACCCCTGTCACAGACAGTTTAGAAACTCATGGAATTTCGACTGGGAATTTACTATTGGTCGTTCAAGCGATCTGGAAAGATCGAGATTACGTCGGAGCAAATGAGGAGAATGACGCCCATTTTGTCACGCCCAGGAGTGTCACAGCTGACAAACATTTCGAGTCTGTTGTCTTTGCCAACTCGACTCATTTTGGAATTTCCATTGTAAAGATCAAGCAACTTGAACAACATTCTTCATAGAACCAACACAAGCTTAAAATATGACGCAAGCTACGACTTCTGGTTACTCAGTGGGTATTGATCTCGGTACGACCTACTCCTGTGTCGGTGTGTGGCAAAACGACCGCGTCGAGATCATTGCTAATGATCAGGGCAATCGCACAACACCGTCGTACGTGGCATTCACGGATTCCGAGCGGCTCATTGGTGACGCTGCCAAGAACCAGGTCGCCATGAACGCTCATAATACGGTATTTGATGCCAAACGCCTTATTGGCCGCAAGTTCTCGGATCCCGTTGTTCAAGCGGACATTAAGCACTGGCCATTCAAGGTAAAGTCGGGTCCTGGTGATAAACCACAGATTATGGTGCAATTTAAGGGCGAGACCAAGACGTTTCAGCCTGAAGAGATCTCGTCCATGGTGTTGATCAAGATGCGTGAGGTGGCTGAGGCTTTTATCGGTAAGGAGGTAAAGAATGCTGTAATTACAGTGCCAGCCTATTTCAACGACTCGCAACGCCAAGCTACTAAAGATGCAGGTGCGATTGCTGGACTCAATGTGCTCCGTATCATTAACGAGCCAACAGCTGCCGCTATTGCATACGGTCTGGACAAAAAGGGCGGTGAGCGTAACGTGTTGATCTTTGATCTTGGTGGTGGTACCTTTGATGTGTCGCTACTGAGCATTGAGGAGGGTATTTTCGAGGTGAAAGCCACTGCTGGTGACACGCACTTGGGCGGTGAGGATTTCGACAACCGCCTCGTGGACCACTTTACGCAGGAGTTTAAGCGTAAGTACCGCAAAGACATGACGCAGAACCAGCGTGCGCTCCGTCGACTGCGCACAGCGTGCGAGCGCGCTAAGCGGACGCTGTCGTCGTCGGCGCAGGCGTACATTGAGATCGACTCACTATTTGATGGTATCGACTTCAACTCTACCATTACGCGCGCGCGTTTCGAGGATTTGTGCAGTGACTACTTCCGCAAGACGATGGAGCCCGTGGAAAAAGTGTTGCGCGATGCCAAGCTGTCTAAGGGTCAGGTGCATGAAGTGGTGCTTGTTGGTGGCTCCACGCGTATTCCCAAGGTTCAGCAGCTGCTGTCAGACTTTTTCAACGGCAAAGAGCCCAACAAGTCGATTAACCCTGATGAGGCTGTTGCGTACGGTGCTACCGTCCAGGCAGCCATTCTGAGCGGTAACGACTCGTCAGAGAAGCTGCAGGATTTGCTGCTGCTAGACGTGACACCGTTGTCGCTGGGTCTGGAAACGGCCGGTGGTGTTATGACGACGCTGATCGCACGTAATACGACGGTACCGACCAAGAAGTCGCAGACGTTTTCAACGTATGCGGACAACCAGCCGGGTGTGCTCATCCAGGTGTTCGAGGGCGAGCGCTCCATGACGCGTGACAACAACCTGCTGGGTAAGTTCAATCTAGACGGCATTCCGCCCATGCCTCGCGGTGTTCCCCAGGTCGACGTGACGTTCGACATTGATGCGAACGGCATTTTGAACGTGTCGGCAGTGGAGAAGTCGACGGGCAAGGAGAACAAGATTACGATTACGAATGATAAGGGCCGTCTGTCGCAAGCTGACATTGACCGTATGGTGTCAGAAGCTGAGAAGTATAAGTCCGAAGATGAGGCGAATAAGGTGCGCATTGAGGCTAAGAATGCGCTCGAGAATTACGCGTATAACCTTCGCAACACGCTTAACGACGAGAAGCTGAAGGACCAGATCTCGGAGGATGACAAGAAGGCGATTGAGGACAAGGTGACTGAGACCATTAATTGGCTGGACGCGAATCAGTCGTCGGAGAAAGAGGAGTACGAGGGAAAGCAGAAAGAGTTGGAGGGTGTGGCCAATCCGATTTTGCAGAAGATGTATGCAGCCGCTGGCGGTGCTCCGGGTGGTGTTCCGGTGGTATGCCCGGTGGTATGCCCGGCGGCATGCCTGGTGGAGGCGCTCCTCCTTCTGGAGCTCCTGACCAGGGTCCTAAGATTGAGGAGGTTGATTAAGCAATTGAAATCCTCGTCTAGCGTGGCTTGCATCAGCATAAAGCATTTAGGTTATATCTTCTAGTTTGAAAGTAGTTAAGTAGTTGATAGAGAACCGGTTGGAGGGAAAATGGTTGCTCGACGTAAACTTAGACATCATCCTGGATGAAGTTAAAAAAAGGCAAGAAAGAAAACGACTTTTATAGCGTGTTTATTATTTGAAGTTTACTGTCCTTACTTACAACTTGCTTTGAACGTACTTTCAATACTTGCAAGATGCCTCAATGTGCTGGTCCAGCCAGCAGTTCGCATGCTGCCCAAACATCACATATAAGGCGCTTAACTTCAGTCTATTGACTGTACGTGTGAGAGACAAAATAAGAGCAGCTCAAAATGAAAAGAAAACGCCACGAAGATGTATTGAGTAGATTTCACTCTCTAGACATCAACCTCTGTAACTAAAATCTATGAGGCAACTATCTGGCGTCGATACTCGAGAATCATCTTGGAGTCGTCTTTCCAGCGAGTGCGCCGAATAAACTCGAGCGAATACTCTGGACCTACAACTGTACCGTTGCATAAAATCTCGATCTCCTCAGGCTTCAAGATATTCAGCTTCTTAGCCAGGTACTTGCGCAGATACATGACCTAGACAACAATGAAAACAATCCGTTCAAAATTTCATACAGTAGCCCCGAGTCAGCTCAGCCTTCCTTACCTTGAAAAATGACTGCGTGTTCATACACGGAGCCTTGAGTTCGCCGAGGAGGAGAAATAGAGGGACATCCGGACTGCACAAATTTCATACAACAACAAAGCTTGAGACCCCAGCGCTAGCACGTATTCCCTTGTCGATTCAAAACCTCACCTGCGCTGTGGATGCAGCTCAAACTGAATCATATGTCCCGGAGATGACGGGCCAAGCGCACGACCGAGCTTTGAAGCACTCTGGCGATTCTTACATGGAGTATCAGGTTGTTTGCGCTTGATACCAAACTTTGCGTAGAACAATCGCTCTGTAGGCAAACAAGCAAGTCTTAGACGCTTGGCAAACCCAAAAGCTGACGAAAATAGGACTTAATCGTAACAGTACCTTCCCTTTCTTCAGCTGCACGGTAATCTGGCAAATACTTTTCAGAGAGCTCTTTCATTGCTGGATCAGGACTACATTATCGAAACGCATGATCAATAGTAGGACTGAATGTAAATCAACTCAACAACCACATTTTTACATATTACGTACATGAATTGGGTCCATGGTTTGGCACCCAGATCCACGTCACACGTTGGACAAGTACACGATGGTGTGTGCAAATAGAACCCTCGTATACAGCCATGACAGACTATACCAATGCAAAACCGCATCTTAATCTGCTATTTTTCTAACTAACTTGAGTTTTCAGTAATTCTCATAACATACAGGTGTGCAGACACTCTTTTGCAGTATACGGGTCTCGATAATAGCCTTTGCATAGTTTGCAGATGAAGAATTCGTTGATATCAGTCATATACAAGGTTTCCTACCCATTAAAAAGAGCCACAAATAAGACGCTACACCTCAGCAAATAGATTATATCGTATATAAAGACGTTTGCAGAACACTATGAAGATATTACGACATACCGTGCGTGCCTCTACAAACAAATGATTGCAGGAAGCATTAGACAGCGATGGAGTGAGCGCCGTACTCGACGAGGGACTTGTAGCAGCCATGAGATAATGCGATCGTAGCGACTAGAAATACCACCAATAGCGTGTATTGAAACTATATTAGTGCATTCAAAGCCTACGAAACAGCATGAGCTTTGACAGTGGATTTTAGGCGTGAGTGTGTTGCGGCCGTCGTCGTCGCTTACAAAAAAGCACGAAACCAATCACACATGCAACCGGAATTGCCATAAAGAACACGACAAGCACGAAAAAAGTGCTGGAGAGAAACGATGTGTGATGATGAATCGACGCTTCCTTGTCACCTCTTACTTTGGTCTCTGAACCCTTTGATTCCGTCGGTTTCAGCTGCCACGACGCGTTTCGAAGAAATTGACTCTCAGCTTTTGGCTCCGCTGTTGGTTGCGTTGGAGGCAGCAAAATTTCTTCACGCTCACAATTGCATCTACTTTGATTCGACAGTCCTTCAAGCTGCTCAAGGGCGTAATGTCGTCTAGCTTGTAACTCCTGCACCTCAATATTCAGTTGAGTAGTAAGAGTTTCGAGATATCTGCGCATCATAGCCAAATGCCGGATATGGCAGTGGTGTACTGTAGTCATTTCTTGACTCAAAAAATATGTAATGGGGTTGGTTTGGCCATTTTGTCGTACATGCCTCGACTGGTATCCATGATAGATGGTAAAGTGTCCTTGGGCCTGACCTCTACTGAAGGTTAAAGCAATCCAAAGGAAGTTAATGCACCGCATGAAGGACTGCTGCTTTCGTGACGCAATGATGAATGAGATTGGTGTTCTCTGGTATTGTGAGATTGAAGTTCTCTGGCGTTATGAGATTGAAGTTCTCTGGCGTCATGAGATTGAAGTTCTCTGGCGTCATGAGATTGAAGTTCCCTAGTGTTGTGAGATTGACTACCCATCCAAGTGATCATTCTCAACCAAGGCAGCTTCAATCTATCGCAAAAAATTGATGCAAGCTTTAAACCTTTTTGTACCGAGCGGGTACCTAAGTTAGCGTTATATAGATGCACCGCGAGTTACGAGGCTTATTCATCAATGCCCTTGTATTACGTTCTAATGGGGCTTCTATGTCATAACGTATTAGCTCTTTATCTGATTACATTAGCTTTTCTATCAGCGGCAATTACTGACTTTTGTCGTTATTTACCAAACGCGCCACCATCATTACTTCGTTAACGTCAAAATGTTTTATGACTAAACTTCTGAAAAGCACAAGATGGCGTTCTAACAGGAGCAAGAAATTAGGTCAGAAAACATAGTGAAGCCAAACCGTTAAGGCAGTAACGCGTTTGTGACAACGAAATGGGTGCAATGTATCAAGTAAATGCCAGCCACGAAGTGCTGCAGTTAAAGTATTTGTTTATTAGGAAGGGGTAAAGCTGCTAGTCATAGTCAACATAATATGACCAATGCGTTAATGCGAGGTGCTCTCATTTACTTGCATGCAACAATCGAGATCCGCACTGTGTATATGTACTAATAACCTCACCTTCGTATTTTATTCGCATCTTCGTTTCGTACAAATATGCCCCTGGACATGCATTTTGTTGCGCAAAATATCTCAAAGGGACAGCAGCATGTGACCAATCAGTCCTTATTGTACAAGAATTCTTTTTTGACTGATATGCGCGCTCCACACATTCTATATGACTGTCCGCATAACGCGACCAATAGCATCATGGCGATACTTGTATCCTTGGCACAACTTCTGCGGGATCCTTCCTATAACAGTTGCAGCATCTCGCTAGCAAAAGCTCGCGTGTCACTTCCAATACAGTCGATCCATGGCGTAGTTTTCGAAGGCATACCGTCAGCTTTAATAGAGGTACGACGCACAACCATGTCTTTATGGGGTTACAGGAAGGTATGTATTATATATACACAACTGCTACACCATTTTGGTGTTTCTGTACTTTGGGTAAATTGACCTTTACCGTGTAACGGGATTACACAAGTTGTATATGTGCCACACTAAAATGATGTGGCTGTATTTTGGGTACAATATGCTCACAACCCCTTCGGTGTGAGCTGTAGCTAAGGTACAACGGGTTCATATCTCGGCAGGGAGCCACGTGGCCGTAGTAATGGGCTAAGTACATTGGATATATACGTATGTATAGAGGTCCTCAGCTAAAAATAGTGACTAGCTCAGTATAGAATAGTTTTTTTTTCGTTTTCTGTACTAGTGCTAGAAGATAAAAAATTTGATCATCAGCGTGGAACCTGCTCTGTTAAGCAATTGTTGCTAGGTGATCATATTCCTTGGGAAGGAATAAGTATCTGTGATACTGATCTCGTAGAGACGTTGGTTTTGTACAGCCAAGAATGCATAAGCTTGTAAAACTAGCCTTGAAAACGGTTAAGAACCCCAAGGCGTAGAGATCGTAAAGCTTGTATTTCTCTGCACTTCGTGCATGTAGTATCTGGTAGCTCGGCTACATCTTTTCGAGGCTCCGAAAGAGATGAAGATGCGCGTCGGAGCCTCCAAAGAGATGCGCGTCGACAAATTTACAAGGTGAAGACAAAGCAGGAATAGCAAACAAAGCATATTGCTGATAGATATAAGCTCATTGAGATTCCATCAATAATGAGGTGAAAAAAGCGGTTTAAGATGAGAAGTTGCGACTGACAAAGCAAGCTGGTATTTTACCAATGCGCTTGCCCCACGCTTAGGAAAGCTGAAAAAGCTTTTTTATGGTTTACAGATACCTCATGAGGGGTTCTAATAGGCGCTAAACTTGCTGAAAGGTCGAGACCTGCAAAGCAAAATAGTGACTCTTTGGAGACCTCAAGGTGCAGTAGGCAGCAATAAGCAATATGATAGGCGATACATTATTGATTCCACTCAGTTCTAAATTTATCAGATACTAATCTAGCTAAGAACTACACACTAATTGTTGCCGTTCAGTTCTCAGCTTGGGACCTGATCATTCATCACCGAATGCTTTACACACATCTGACAAAGACCTATGCTATAGTTGCATAGAAGTCCACTCAGCCGTCGCTGCTAGCGATACGAATGACCGGCTGAGATAACAAAAACGCACGGCAGTATATGACAATGACTAAGACTTTTTCTAGCAGCTAAATATCATATGGGTATTACATTACTGGAGTGGTGCTAGCTGACGGTGATTACCGACAATACATCTGGTCACGAGACGGTGACCGGGCCGGGTCTTTTCGAGGTTGGCCCTGATCCCTCGTTGTAGACCCTGGTCTTTCGTTTAGACCCTGGTCCCTCGGTCAGTGGACCCTCGACCCCTCGGCCCCTCGGTCACTCGGCCCCTCGGCAAGCAGAATCAAGAATCAGGCCTTGGGGGTAACGATAGCGTAAAGAAGTTAAAAGATAGGACCATATTAAATACTAGTCAATTTCGATTCATAACGTACCTTGAAAGCACGATGGAGGCGTGCTTTCAAGGTCATTACTAATTCTACCCACCTGTTTCGGGAAGGGATACATTTTGGTCCCCCGTCGAAGACAGTTGTGTGGTAAGAACCAAGTGCGAATAGAGACCCAGGATATATTTGGCCTGTGGGTTCGTCTGAGTAGCACCCCCAACTCAACCCGCTATCGGAAGCGGTATCCCTACCCTAGTGGATTGGGAGCAAGTAAAGGCCAGGCGGTTAACACCCCTGAGATATCAAGGAAGGAAAAGGCCAGGGTTGAGAATATCCCCTGAAAAATTTGGTTATAAGTCCACCCTCGACCTAGTCGACCGAGTGGCCACCTACCCGCCTGCCGAGTGAAGTATACCCACTCGAGGCACCCCAAGGTCGACCTCTCTCAAGACCGACATCACATCTCAACCAAGTCCTCCGAAGAGTGCAACCCTCCAGCCGACGGGTACACAAAGTGAGAGAAGGTCTATCAAAACGCAGCATCGGGGTACCCCTTCCGACAGTCGGCAGTCCGGGACAGTGAGTGGCTTGGGGTCTCATTACGCAGTTTTGAGAACCCACTCCACCACACTTGCATCCCTGCTTATAAAGCAGTTGCGCTGCTTCATCATGGATGAAGCGAAGTATCGTGACATCTTTGGAAATGATGACATTGACATTGGCTCTAGGGCGAGCGGCGCCAAGTCTCCGTCAAGACATATTACCCACAACCACCATGCTCACCGAAAGAGGGACGGTAATCGCATTCTGTGTCCTCTTCCTCGAGGTTAATACTTCTTTGCGCCAAGCACCACCGCTTCTCTCTCGTAAGGGCGCGAGGAGCGATGATTTAGATGGTACTGGCATCTTGAGACGTCGATACTCAGGATTATTCGTCAACGGTGGGATGTAACACCCCGTTAGCCTCCCTGTGTTCCTCCTAGACGGACGGTGATGCACATACGCAGTATCTTCGACACTTGGCCATAATCCATGTGCCCAAATTTATTGAGTAGGTCTGGCCCATGCCGAAATTGTTTTCGCCAAATAAGTGCACTGGTGCATTGACCATCGCGAGCACAACAAAATGCCCAGAAGCTTCAAGCAAACCTGGTAAAGCGGTGCACCTCGTGCAATATAATAAAACTTTGGCCACGATTTGGACGTCTAGAGATGTACCACATCTACATCTATCAATTAGGCACGGTGCCGCTGCATCTCCACCTTCTACGCAGGCAAAGATCAGTATGAGATCGACTCGTACTTCCGAGTTTGCAAGCTGTCAGGGCGGATTGTGCCGTCTCTATCAGGAGTTTGTGAAGATGCTGGACGCTAAGGTGATCCAGATACAGGAGATGTTCGTCCTCAAAACGCCAAAGCGGTGAGCCTGCTGACTACTGGTACGCTGAAATGCTGGTACGCAACGTTTCCCTTGACAACAGCTCTCCACAGATTCGGTGGAAAGTTTATGCATACTGGACTTGCATCGTGCGCGTTTCGACAGCATTATGACCGACTTACTGGATTGAGACAGACTTGTTGGAATGAAGCGAGAAAAAGCAGGAAACAAAGTAATCAGGTTGTTTTTATGATTGTAAATGACTGTTGGATACTATAATTATAATGGGATAATCGTATGAATGAAGGTGCATTTATTACCTCTGTAGTCTCAAGCATGAGTATGTAGATGGTTTTGGCCACCGTGCGCAGCTCCCCCCTCGAGGAACCGCGGTCCATCGGACTAACCGCGGCTAACTCCTCTGAATGCAGCACGCCTAATCGTACAATCTCATCATCCAACGGTCGTCTCCCGTCCCTTTTTGGCGCTCCGTCTTGCTGTCCCTTACCTAACGGTCGCTCCTCCTTGGCGGGTCCCCTTCTCTTTGACCCGCCGATCCTCGGACCTACCAATTCTTGAAACGCTTCACCACACAAGCGCATAACGCTTTGTCGATTAAAGCGCAAAGACAATAGGTGCTCAACGAGAAAGTATTCAAAGCACTGAGATGATTTTTAAGCAAGTGCTAGGGACCTAACGCTTAATCAGCAAGTGTCGTAAGACTAAGATGTAGCGCAAGTGCAATGCACTGCATGCTCAAGGAGTAATTTCGTAACACTAGGGTGCTTGAATAGCGTGAGTGAAATGCACTAGATGCTTAATGAGCAAGTTCGTAACACAGAAGGAGATATGGACGCAAGCGGAGCACTTAATACCGAGAAATCAAAGTGGAAAAGAAAGGAAATCGACAGAACTCCACATTAAGTCCGAAAATCGTGGCTACGCCGGGTCCTACGGATTGGTGGGGAGGGTGTAATGGGGTTACACAAAGGTGTGTAATCTACATACACAATTGTGGTGTGGCTGTACTTTGGGTACACTGGTGGCCTATCGCAGAAACAACGAGGAGGGTTGCAAAGCTGCTTCCTATTCTTGGCCCGAAGGGCACGGAATACCTCACCGATCAAAGCGAAGAAGAGGTCAAAAAACGTATTCATATGCGTGACGAGTGCAATAATGCTTTTATAAAGTATGTAAAGGCACAAATGCCATCATCTGCGTTGTCGCATAGAGGCTATGGCGCAGGAAGTGGTAAGTTCGACGGCAAAAATGGCAATAACCTTATGCTGTGGTTTCGACAGCTTGAGTCGGCTAATGGTATATCTGAGAGCAACAACGAACCATACCACGTTTGGCTTTGCCAAACAATGGGCATTCACATGCGGTGCACCACTGCAAGATGCTTTTCCAACATATTCCGATCTGACATTTCAGATGACACGGCAGTATGCGCCGCCCAATCAAGCGCACCAAGATCGGTCGCGATTTTGGGACCTGTTCATTCATCACCGAATGCTTCGCACACGTCTGACAAAGACCCATGGTATAGTTGCATAGAAGTCCTCACAGCCGTCTCTGTTAGCGATACGAATGACCGGCTGGGATAAGAACAACGCACGGCAGAGCTGCCTAGACAGTGCGCAGTATTGCTTGGTCATGTACTGATACTGCACTGCGGTTTGCAAGGTAACGTTTTTAATGCGCGGTGTATTCAAGATGAAACGGTAAAAGCACCCTACCAGTCGATACAAACATAACATGCCTTGGGCCCGGAAGTACCCTATGCTGCTGACAACGGTACCGAGACAAAGAGGTGAACCAATATTTCGCGACTTTTATTCGCTGGAGCTTGATCTGGATTGAAAGATGTTCACGTCCGGATATCAGCTTTGCAGTGCTCATGGCAACGCGGCGCACTCAATTACCTACTATGAGTGACTGGAAGCTGACAAAAAGAGTCGCCAGATACCACGAAGCTTAAGCTCAAGACAATTGTTCCAAGAAATGAAGGAAACAAGGTCAATTTGGCGAGCTGGAGCGACTCGGACTATGCCGGACAGTATGTCTTTTACAGGCAGGGTTTCAACCATAAACGTGCTATTGTGCAGTCAGTGGGTGTGCAAAAAGGAAACAGGGGTGCCGCTTTTGACAATGGAGGCTAAGTTTGCATCGGCCTTGCACGTTGGGCGAGACTTGCTAGTACTGAGAGAGTTGATGCGTGAGATTGGGTTTCAAGTGGAGTCCCCAATGTCAATGCTCATGGACAACCAGGCTACTATTAGACAGCTGGAAACTGAAGGAAGTATGCTGTATCTCAAGCACGTTGATGTGCGCCTAAAGTTTATGCGCGATTATGCAAGAAAAGACATCGTGAAACCGAAGTCTACGGAATCGCGCCTTATGAAGGCGACTTACTACTGACAAAAGTGTTGCCGGCGCAAAGGGTTGCAGAACTATGAAAGCTATTCAATCTGCTGTAGCCATGGAGTGTTGGCGAGCGTGCAACGAGTATTGGAAGAAGTGCAAGATGTTGAGAGTGTGTTGAAGTTCGGCCGACCACTCTCGGCAAATGGGTGCAGCCACGATCAGTTAATAAACTGGTTGGATGATGAGAAGCGTTAGAAACATTCTTTGTAGGACGTTAAAACAATATCACTTCTTCTTTTCACAATATCCTCTCGACTTATTATCGTGAATTGTACTTCTTTAATGGTAGCATCGCAATTTGTAGGAAGGAACAGACGACCCATGTCTACCGATATAATAATTACTTTTAAATGTGTAGCACAGTCTGAAAAGTTAAAAGTAATGATGTGGCTCAATAAATCTAAACAGTTTTATGATTTAGAACCATTGTCAAACTCGATAACTACCAAGAACGACTCTCCTGAACGATGCCTATATGTGCTACACCCAGTGTGTGACGTGGTGTCATTTTGAATCACTTACCTTAACTTGCGCAAAGCCTTGGTCAGACAGTCGGCAAGCTGACAATCCATCACAATATACACGAGCTTCACCCGTGTAGCCTCAAGATGGTCGCGCACATAAAGTGCTGTACTTGATAAGGCGCTTTAGTTCAATGTGCTTGACTCGTGGCATGTAGTTTAAAGTGAAAGCCATCGCAATTACAAAATGAGTGTCCATGATTTCACAGCGCCATTCGTTCACAGCTATTTATCAATATTAACTCTTGACATCGAGAGATAGACCCCCTCCTTGTCTTATATACATACACATCAACATTTCGTCACGAGGTACGCGTTAAAGTTGCTCTTGCTGCTGCGGAACAAGGGGCCGTGAGAATTTCACACCAACATTCAAACTCGGCAACATGGGTCGGTTGCCATTGATGGAGGAGGTACTTCCACCAATCGAGGAGGAAAGTAACGAAATATGTAATGGCAATGCAGGCGCAACTGCTGCCGTTGCGGAGCCAACCGCAGCATGAGCTGAAAATGCTCGCTGCATACTTGCTGATGATGAGCACAGGGACTCGGTATCGTAGCCTGGATGTTCCAGGTAATGGTGATTAACCACTGGGCTTGACGACTTTGTAAGCGCTGGTGACGGCCAGTCCACGATAATATGCCAGACCGACTTTTCGTTGCGTGACTGAAAGCGTGCCATTAACTTGCGCGCATTTGCCACCGAGATGTCTGGTAGTTTGCGCAACGCAGTAGCCTCCACTAGGTTCATGAGCTCATTAAATGTCATCAGCACGCCCAACTCCGCGCGGGCCACCACCACGCGCATGATTCCAGCCTCATCGCTTTGGTGAAAATAACCACTGGTGTCCTTGGATGACTGTCCTCCCTGCGCACGCTTCTTCACGCGACGATGAAGAGCTGCAAAGTGCACGCCGTAAATCTTGGCAGCGGCGCGTAGACTCATCCCCTGCTGCTCTACACTCGCGATTGCTTTTTCCCACGTCTCAGGCGACACTGTGTGGCTCAACTTGTAGCCTCGTTTCGCGCTAAACGTTGGCTCGCGAGTGCCGGGTGCGGCACAGCTATACACCTTGTTGTCCGAGCTTGCAGTGGAAGGAGCCGTAGTGACACTTGAGCTACTGCTAGCTCCCGTCGTCGTGCCATTCTCACTGTCACCGCTGCCACAGCTGCCACTGCTGGCACTGATGCCGAGTTCATTTCTGCCCCATGTTTGATCGCACTGGGTCCATGCGCTTTGTGCACGGTGGTTGTCTATAACGAGGGACCGGCGTTGCTTTTGCTGCTGACGAGTGTGCTCCATCTGCGATTCACTTTCGTACGTTGATCGCATGTTGAACCGCATCAGCGTATCGGAATTGCGTGCTGTGTCGTAGCATCTCAAGGACTGTTCGTTCCCACCTCTCTCGTCGTCGTCACTACTGTCTCCACTGACCGGACTAGTGGATGTTGCACGTGTGATGCTGCTGCTGCGACTACTCGTGCTGAGGCACCCAGGCAGTCCGACCGCGAAGATGCCGCCAGCGTGCGCGAAGCCGTGCACACGCTTGAACTCGTGGATCCAACACATGGGCGGAAAGTCGAGTGGCAAGCTGGTGGTGCTTCTACGGTTGGCAACTGCACGCACAACGGAGCGCACGTCGTTTGAGGTGATACACTTCTGGTCATGCCAAAACTGGTCACGCAGAACATCAAGCGCCTCCTGCTCGTCCGTCTTGGTCAGATAGTGGCGCACTTCAGTACATGACGTCTCAATCGAGCTATTAAAGTGACGTTGTCGTTTTGTGTCCATCGTTAGCAAGGATAAGGACATACGGTCGGTCCGTGTGGGACGTCCGGTCGGATGCTGTAGATTTGGAAAATGAGTCTTTTAAAATGAAAGGTCGGCTGGTTATTACAGTAACGTTTATGGCTTGGTTCGACGAGCTACTTCCAAATGTAATTTCCTGCCAAATCTGAGATGATAACTGCATTTTCGTTAGTATATTTTTCAACTTTCTCGTCAAAGCTAGTAAACAATTGGGTCAAAAGAAAAGGGCAAAAGAAGCTCGTCGAACCAAGCCGTAAACGTTACTGTAATAACCAGCCGACCTTTCATTTTAAAAGACTCATTTTCCAAATCTACATGCATCCGACCGGACGTCCCACACGGACCGACCGTCCCACACGGACCGACCGTCCCACACGGACCGACCGTCCCACCGGACCGACCGTATGTCCTTATCCTTGCTAACGATGGACACAAAACGACAACGTCATTAGCCGATTGAGACGTCATGTACTGAAGTGCGCCACTATCTGACCAAGACGGACGAGCAGGAGGCGCTTGATGTTCTGCGTGACCAGTTTTGGCATGACCAGAAGTGTATCACCTCAAACGACGTGCGCTCCGTTGTGCGTGCAGTTGCCAACCGTAGAAGCACCACCAGCTTGCCACTCGACTTTCCGCCCATGTGTTGGATCCACGAGTTCAAGCGTGTGCACGGCTTCGCGCACGCTGGCGGCATCTTCGCGGTCGGACTGCCTGGGTGCCTCAGCACGAGTAGTCGCAGCAGCAGCATCACACGTGCAACATCCACTAGTCCGGTCAGTGGAGACAGTAGTGACGACGACGAGAGAGGTGGGAACGAACAGTCCTTGAGATGCTACGACACAGCACGCAATTCCGATACGCTGATGCGGTTCAACATGCGATCAACGTACGAAAGTGAATCGCAGATGGAGCACACTCGTCAGCAGCAAAAGCAACGCCGGTCCCTCGTTATAGACAACCACCGTGCACAAAGCGCATGGACCCAGTGCGATCAAACATGGGGCAGAAATGAACTCGGCATCAGTGCCAGCAGTGGCAGCTGTGGCAGCGGTGACAGTGAGAATGGCACGACGACGGGAGCTAGCAGTAGCTCAAGTGTCACTACGGCTCCTTCCACTGCAAGCTCGGACAACAAGATGTATAGCTATGCCGCACCCGGCACTCGCGAGCCAACGTTTAGCGCGAAACGAGGCTACAAGTTGAGCCACACAGTGTCGCCTGAGACGTGGGAAAAAGCAATCGCGAGTGTAGAGCAGCAGGGGATGAGTCTCACGCGCCGCTGCCAAGATTTACGGCGTGCACTTTGCAGCTCTTCATCGTCGCGTGAAGAAGCGTGCGCAGGGAGGACAGTCATCCAAGGACACCAGTGGTTATTTTCACCAAAGCGATGAGGCTGGAATCATGCGCGTGGTGGTGGCCCGCGCGGAGTTGGGCGTGCTGATGACATTTAATGAGCTCATGAACCTAGTGGAGGCTACTGCGTTGCGCAAACTACCAGACATCTCGGTGGCAAATGCGCGCAAGTTAATGGCACGCTTTCAGTCACGCAACGAAAAGTCGGTCTGGCATATTATCGTGGACTGGCCGTCACCAGCGCTTACAAAGTCGTCAAGCCCAATGGTTAATCACCATTACCTGGAACATCCAGGCTACGATACCGAGTCCCTGTGCTCATCATCAGCAAGTATGCAGCGAGCATTTTCAGCTCATGCTGCGGTTGGCTCCGCAACGGCAGCAGTTGCGCCTGCATTGCCATTACATATTTCGTTACTTTCCTCCTCGATTGGTGGAAGTACCTCCTCCATCAATGGCAACCGACCCATGTTGCCGAGTTTGAATGTTGGTGTGAAATTCTCACGGCCCCTTGTTCCGCAGCAGCAAGAGCAACTTTAACGCGTACCTCGTGACGAAATGTTGATGTGTATGTATATAAGACAAGGAGGGGGTCTATCTCTCGATGTCAAGAGTTAATATTGATAAATAGCTGTGAAGAATATCCATGCAAATCTTGTATACTATCGTCTTGGGTATAGTATGCATGTTTATTTTAATGGCGAGAAGCAGCTTGGCACTCTGTTTTGTCAAGTTCTTAGGGCCGACTTCTCGTCTACTTGTGCGACATTCCAACGTGTTGTTTCGTCGGAGTTCCACAAATCAGGACATTTCTATATTTTGTTTTTCTGTGAGCATAAATATAGTTTTATAAATATTATTATAATACATGTTTTTGTGCTTTTTAAATAACAAATAAATAATTTACAAAGGTAATTTTTATCTGTTTTCTTCTGCAAAAATAATTTGATATGTTTATAAATTAATTTCTTGTCGGGTTCATTTGCAAATTTTTATCTGTTTCTATTAGAGCAAAAGTACAAAGGAAAACACGGTAAATAAATCTTTATTAATAAATTAGACACCATTATATAGCTATAAGTGTCCATTAACCTCTAAAATAAAAAAAAACTCGATTTGTCATTGGTATGTTTAGTCATCATGTTTTTTTAACAACGAGGCATTTTTTAATAATATAACGTTTCATTTAACAAAAAATGTTTATAACGACTTGAATTTGATATACCCACTTCTGTCAGACAGACGTCACGAGGAGATCAACGCGACTGATCAATTGCGAACTACCAACTCGATCCACCTCTTCAATCTTTTGACTCTGCTCTCTCCCTCTCCATTGCACTAATGGTAGATCAACCAAAGAAATGACGCATAGAATCGTTACATTATAGACAAAAAAGCAAGTTCATTTATAGCATGCAACTAAAAAGCACCAATAGCTACCGCGTTAACATCTTTCGGACTCGTTAAGTTGTTGTGAGCACTACTTTTTTTCTTCGAATGTGCAGATTGGTCTAGGAATTTCTGGTATTGTACCCGAATTGAATTAGTGTTAGCGCCCTTGATCTTGTCGGGCGTGTAGTGAATAACCTCCCAGCGGCTAAATTGTGCCGTTCGTACCTTTGTGAAGAGTTCTTTCTTATTCGAGTGCTCAATCGCATGATAAGGTGCGCCAGAAGAGTACTCTCGTCATTAAAATGTTTGGACAACGTCCTGTAGATTCCAGTGGGTCTTATACTGCAGATAGCGAGCCATTTCAAAAATCAGCGTCTTCAAATAGTTTATTTACGGGAATCTTGTCCAGCCCCAGACGACGAAACGAGGCGGTCGTGCTTAACCACCCCATTCGAAGCCAAAGCCATCCGAGTTCAATTTTCTCACCAATTGTCGACATGATTGATTTCAGTTTGGGACCAATACCCGCGGTGTGAATGGAACCGACTCGTTTTTCAAAGGTGTCGGGATCGTCGTCCCTCGGTGTTGTGTCCACGTCAGATCTCAAATTTTGTTTCATGAAGACGCTACTATGAATCCATACAGTAGTCAAAGCGCGTGACGTACCCATGACTTCTTCTCAGATATCGTCTCTGTGGTAGCTTTGCTCAAAGTTGAGCATATTACCAGCGCTACAGTAATCAACACGCTTGCATATATAAACCGAACTGCGTTCGACCTTATAGGCATCGTTATAACTTGAACACGGGTGATTTAGGCAGGAGAAAATCAAGAACTGAGGTGACGAGACCTGAAGTGGCACCGGATCAGGTAAAAGATTAGATTGGATCATAGAAACAATCTAAACGTTTTTCCCGAACAAGCCAGAGAATTCATATATAAAATCTGCAAAAAACAGTGCAAAGACGCCAAGAATTGTGCTGATGCACAGTTTTTTTTTTTTGTGGTTTTTTTTTTGGGGGGAAAAATGTTTTTTTTTTTTTTTTTTTTTTTTTTATGGGTGTTTTTTTTTTAAATTTTTTTTGGGGGGTTTTTTTTTTTTTTTTTTTTAAGGATGGGTTTTTTTTTTAGTTTAATGACAGGCTGTTACCAGGATTTCAAGCTTCTTACAATATGAAACCTACATACTGCCTGCAGATCCACAATTGTCACATTCAACCTACTAAATATATTTTTACGCACTTGTGTCAATCATATATCCCGCAGCACCACGTGATCAACGCACATAACCGACCGATCACTTGCCAAGCAAATTTCACGATTTCACAAACTTAATCCACCTCTTCAATCTTTGGACCTTGCTCTGCGCTGCCCGGCGAAGGAACTCCACCAGAACCAGGCATACCGCCCGCCATGCCACCGGGCATACCACCGCCAACGTTGCCTGCAGACGCATACATCTTTTGAAGCACCGGGTTCGCCACACCCTCGAGCTCCTTCTGCTTTCGACTCGTACTCCTCCTTCTCCGACGACTGGTGTGCGTCCAGCCACTGAATCACCTCCGTCACCTTATCGTCTACCACCTTCTTGTCAGCCTCTGGGATCTTCTCCTTCATCTTCTCGTCGTTCAGGCTATTGCGTAAGCTGTACGCATAATTCTCCAGCGCGTTCTTGGCCTCGACGCGCACTCTGTTAGCTTCGTCCTGTGACTTGTATTTCTCAGCCTCCGCCACCATACGGTCAATCTCAGCCTGCGACAGACGGCCCTTATCATTCGTAATCGTAATCTTGTTCTCCTTGCCCGTCGACTTCTCCACTGCTGACACGTTCAAAATGCCGTTCGCATCAATGTCGAACGTCACGTCGACCTGGGGAACACCGCGAGGCATGGGCGGAATGCCGTCTAGATTGAACTTACCCAGCAGGTTGTTGTCACGCGTCATGGAGCGCTCGCCCTCGAACACCTGGATGAGCACACCCGGCTGGTTGTCCGCATACGTTGAAAACGTCTGCGACTTCTTGGTCGGTACCGTCGTATTACGTGCGATCAGCGTCGTCATAACACCACCGGCCGTCTCCAGACCCAGCGACAACGGTGTCACGTCTAGCAGCAGCAAATCCTGCAGCTTCTCTGACGAGTCGTTACCGCTCAGAATGGCTGCCTGGACGGTAGCACCGTACGCAACAGCCTCATCAGGGTTAATCGACTTGTTGGGCTCTTTGCCGTTGAAAA